AGAGAACTAAAAACATATGTTCATACAAAAACTAACATATGAATATTCATAGCAGCACTAGTCATAATGGACAAAATATAGAAACAACTATTGGGTATTTAAACTGTTCCATCAACTGATGAGTGGATAAACAAAATTGTGGTATATCCATGCAATGGAATATTATTTGACCATAAAAAGGAATGAAGTACTGATACATGTTACAACATGGATGAACCTTAAAAACATTACACTAAATGGAAGAAGCAAACATGAAAGTTCACATACTATATTATTCCATGTATCAAAATACCCAGAAGAGGCACATCCATAGAAATGGAATACACATTAGTGTTTAATTTTGGCTGGAAGGGGTGGAAGGTATGGGGAGTGAATGATAATGGGTTTCCTTTTGGGGGGATGAAAATGTTCTAGAATTAGCACTGGTTGCACAACCACGTGAATATATGAAAAACCACTGAATTGTACCCTTTAAAAGGGTGAATTTTATGAATTTTATGAAGTATACCTCAAAAAAAGAAACCCTACAATACTAACAATGTGATAATATTTTGTATAAAAATGTATTGGATATAAGCAAAGCTATACTCAGAGGAAAATTCATAGGTTTAAAAAATTAAAACAAAAAAATAACTAAGCACTGTACTCACCTAAAAAACACTTTAGAATAAAAAAGAAAAAAATAGGGCCGGCCTGTGGCTCACTCGGGAGAGTGTGTTGCCCATAACACCAAGGCCACAGGTTCGGATCCCATATAGGGATGGCCGGTTAGCTCACTGGGCGCGGTGCAGACAACACCAAGTCAAGGGTTAAGATCCCTTTACTGGTCATCTTTAAAAAAAAAAAAAAAGAAAAGAAAAAAAGAAAAGAAACAAAAAAAGTAAAAAACAAATTTTTTAAAAAGACCAGGAAAGGAGGATAGTATTAATAAAAATAAAGTGACAAGTGACAAAAGTAAAGAACAGTGGAATTGATAGATTCAAGGACTGATTCCTTGTCATAACCAATAAAATAAACTTCTGGCAAGGATAATTAAGAGAAAAGATATGTTGTGAGCCATCCCATGAAGAAAAAGAAAAACAAAGGAAAAAAGAGAAAAGAGAGACACAAACATACAACTCAAAGAGAAGGCTAACTCCAGATACTAAAGAAAGTTTTAAAGTATACATACCTAATAATAAATTAGAAAAAGATGATCAAAAGATTTTCAAAAAAGCATGAATTAATAAAACTGATTCAAGAAGAAATTACAGAAAAGATTGAAAATATCATCAAACTTCCCCCCCTCAAAAGGTGCAGGGCCCAGATAGCCTCTCGGGCAGTTTTTCATGCCTTCGAGGAATACATAATTATGCTATTTAAACTGTTTCAGAGCAGAGAAACAGAAGAAATTCTTCCTGATGTCTTTCCAAAGCCAGCATTACCATAGCCAAAACTTGACTAGGAACAATAAAAAACACTAGACTAATCTCTCTTACAAATGTAGATGGAAAAATCTTAAGATATAAGAAATGAACTCAGCAAAATTAAAAGAATAATATACTCATATCCAGCAGGGTATAATCCAGAAAGGCAGAGAGTTCACAATGAAAAATCCATTAGCAGAATTCATCATACTGACAGGTATGCTTAAGACAGCATTTTATAAAATTAACATCCATTCCTGAGTTTGAAAAAAAGTTCAGTGAAAAGCAAAGGCATCACATAGCCTAGAGATTAAATGCTCAGGGCTTTGGTGGCAAACAGACCTGTGTTCAGTAACTGGTCTCTCTAGGCCTCTCCAACCTGTTTCATCATTTGAAAGGTGAGTATAAGGGCTGGCCCATTAGCTCGGTTGGTTAGAGCACGTTGTTCTAACACCAAGGTCAAGGGTTCAGATCCCCATACTACCAGCCACCAAAAAAGAAAAAGAAAGAAAAAGAAGATGAATATCAATGAATTAATGTAAAAAATCATGTTGCACAGTGTCAAACACAGAGCAGCATTCAATCAGTGGGAGATTCATATTTTCACTAATAAAACGGAAATAGAAGAGTATGTCCTTTATATGATTTTTAAATCCATATGTATCAAAACAAGTTAAGATTGTTAATAAGAAATGCCAAATAAGAACAGTTATTACATATATTGTACAAAAGGGATTTTATAGTAGATAGTTAGAGATTTGGATATAGAGATAGAGACAGAAAAAAAGTCTGGAAGTATATACACCAGGATATTAATAGTTACTCATGTCTGGGTGATAGAAATATGGCTTTTTTTCCTCTTTCTAAACTCAATTTTTCAAAAACGTAAATGCAATAATTAGTGTTTTTCTATAATATTTCTCTTAGAAAAAAGGCGGTATGAAAACATAGTAGAGATCATAAAGAACAGAACTGTTTTTCCAGAAAACCAAATAGGGAAATCTCTCCCAAAAGGCAGAAGAATTAAGAGCTAAAAATGATAAAGGAAGAGACAAGATTGGAGAATCAGAAAATGATGTACAACCTAAAGCTTAGAGATATTCTTAAGAGAGATATTGGAGTTATCAGAAGTTCTAATCAAAGAAATAGCTGAAGAAAACTTTTCCAGGAATAAAAAGTTGTGCAGATCAAAAGGTTTACTGTATTCCAGCCAAAGTCAATGAAAAGAAATTCATATTGGCTAAATTTTTTACTTTCATCAGTAGGTTAAGAAATTATTCAAACATCGTGTTGTATACATATAAATACCCACGTTATTTACAAAAGGATGAAAATAACGCTAGCCTCAGACTTCTCTGCGATGCAACTACCAGAAGACAGAGAAGTAGGGTCACACACCAATCATATCTCCTCAGCTACGAAAAGACTCAGAAACCACGCCACTCATTTATCTTTCTTGCAAAGGATACTTGAAAGATGACTTGAAGTTAAACCCCCGCTGAGAGACAAGTCAGAAGTAAACGTCAAGAATGAGGAAGGTGGAGTATAAAAAGGTTGTGAGTCTTCATTCATTTGTCTCATTTGCAGACGCAGAAAATTATTGGCCGGTGGATCCTATCGCCCCTACAGTCTGACTCTACATGCTTTCCCGCCCTTTTCCAGGACCAGGAAAGGGTGGCCGATGCAGCAGGGGGACACACGACAGGACGCCTCTTTCTGAGACAGAAGGGAACAAAGTATGATTCTGCTTCCTACTGACATTTTTGAAAAAGAAAGGCAAAAGATCTTGCACCTCTTTTTTCCTGGGAAATTAGAGGCGAGGCAAAGTGCAGAGCTGGGTGTGGGACGACGGCTTTCCGCGAGGTGACCAGCAGCAAGGGGAGCTCCCGCTGGCTCCTGCGGACTTACTGAAATGCTTTGGCAAGTAGCAAGGAGTCACCTGCATCCTCAGTCCCTCCCCGGGGACCTGGGGAAGGCGGCTGACTCTCGGTGGGGGACACTCCGTCTCCCGGAGAGATGCTGGGTGCTCGCACGGATGGCGGTTGATCTGGGGTGGGTGGCTGCGGCGGGGCTCCCGCTAGGACGGAGGGCCCGGGGAGCGCGGGTGCAGAGGAGCGGGGTTCTCCCGGGCGCGCGGGCGGCCTTACCCCCGG